GATTTTATTGATCAGAATTGACTAAATTGGGTTATTTTTTCCTCAACTGAAACCAAGAAAATTGCAAAAAAAAAAAATTCAATAAGGGAAACCTGCAAATTAATTAATCTAGATTAATTTCCATCCATTTCCAGCAATAAATCTGACTACTTTATTTGTTTAATTAAACTATTCAGTGCTTAGTTTATTGTTGAGCAGGTAAAGGAGAAATATTTTTGGCACTCGGGTTCTTTTAACTTTATGATTTTGGCCCATGTGACAAAATGTTTGGACACCCCTGATCTAGATGATGTAATTTCATTTTTAGTTCAGCAGGTAGAGCTGCTGAGCTACAGTTACTGAAAACAAAAGCTGCAGAAAAGCAACAACCTACCATGCTGACTTGTTTTGTCCCATCTTATTTTGAAAATCACGTTAGGAACAGTTAACTTTGACATAATGCGTTTTGTTGTTTTAAGTGCTCACCAGGCTCTCGCCGGACGGCCAGTGAATTTCATTGTGGATGCTGATGCGGGACTGGCGAGTCTGCAGGGTGTAAGGGAAGCAGCTGACCTGCAGGACCAAAAGGTTGATGGCGTCCAGGACTTCCTGGCAGTTCACCACCCGGTCAGCTAGACCCTGCAGCTCCCCGTGACACACAGAGCCAGACAAAGCGCTGGGGAGGAAGTGGAGCAAACTGCTTGAAGGCAACTCTTGATATTTTTTATATATATATATATTTTTTTGCAAACATACTTTTCCCTTCATAGCTGTTTATCACATTTAACACAATTTCAAATATCTGTCTGATTGGGGACATGATTCATGCACAAAACTTTTTTTTTGTGCATGAATCTTCCCCGTGCGGGGGAGGCTGGTCCCAAGACAAACTTTCTGAAAAACAGGAAGTGATCTGTGTTATGTTTCCGGCAGTAAAAACTGAGATTTTCTTCAAGCAGACAAAAGATATTTTCATGGGAAGCAGCTGGAGGCAGTTTTTTTYCAAACACACAAGTATAAATGCATTATCAGAAAAACAAATACRCACATAAAAACACAAAGGACGAAAAAAACTGTATTGGTCTGCCCTGGTTTGTTTCCACTTCGTTTCTGCAGTCAAAACGTCTTATCTTTTCTCCATGTGTTCACAGGTGACCTCCCTCATCTTTTACCTTGTGAGGTCGACGTGCGAGTTGTCGTGAATGAGGACAAACAGGGTGTAGGGGTTCTGCTTGACTTTCTTCATGAAAGCCTCCACCTTGGCGTGAACGTCGGCATCCAGTCGCACCACGTACTTCTCTGCTCTTTGGTGAGCTGTGAAGGCATCTTCGTTACCCAGGTCGACAAGCACTCCTGAAACAAAATCAGGGCAGATTTCTCGAGACTCAGCTTTTCAAAACCTTATTATTTCAAAAATGTACCAGCAAGTATAAAAATGCATTCTTTCAGGCTATGGAAGGGACTTCTTATTTGACGGGGACCTGATTGTCGGATGCGCTGTGCCGTCTGGTGCACCAGAACGTGAGAGGGGGGGACCAGAACCAGGAAGTCCACTTTACAAAAGCGGCCCAGGTCGAGGTTCTGGGTCCCCGAATCTGCGATGGAGCAGACCTGAGAGAGGAGGCTGCGAGCCACAGTCAGCTGGGACGGATAGATCTGAAAGACCTTATTTAGAAGCTCTGCTGCTGGGAAACAAGCAGAAAGCAAAGATGTGGCTGTTAATCTTAGAATAAAACATATAAGCATCCTTTGAAAATAATTTCAGTGGATCTTAAATGCATAAAAAAACACAAATATATATTTTCTGCCTGTCGTGCAACCAAAACAGACCATTTTTGTATTACATAAAAGATTCCCCAACTGCTCTACTTTTGGGGATTTCTACATCATATTTATTCTTCACAATAAAATACAAACAAATCAAATATTTGATGAGCTAATATTGATTGAGTTGGGTCTGGATGAATGATTATAAAACATATTACCTCATTTTGATTGCTCAAACGAACACACAAAGAAGCAGTTTGCCAACCAYGAAGGTGGCTAAACCGAGTTTAAACAGGGAGTCCAACCTGTGTCTGCCGGTGGCGACATGCTGGCGGCCTCCTGGGAGTGAATGTGATCAGTGATGTCGCCCTGAAAGGGCTGGACGACCTGTCCTTTCCGTCTGCGCTGGTATCGTACAAGCTGCTTGTCAAGATTGTCCCCTGGAAACCAGCAGTCACCATAGTCACTCAGAGACACGCAGACAAGAGCAGCAGCTGAGTGCAAATCTGATATTCATCCCCGTTTTTCCACCCGGTGGTTTAATACTTCCATTTTAGAACACAATACTTGAACCGTTAAACTGTTAAATTGTTTTTTTTCATGTATTTTAATAGTTTAATCGGTCAGAAATGCAACTGTTTCGTGTGTTCAGCACTTACCAAGAGAAGTGGATTTGAAGTGAGAGGCTAAGATGCTGACTTTTCCTGTGATGAGCTCATAGCTTATTTCCTTCAGAAACTCGTTGGTTGTCAGCATGCCTTCAGCTAAAGCACGTGCTTGGTACTTTCCTGCGTAGGACAGGTGGGTTTAGGACTACCGTATGAATCGTGCGTGGTATTATTGACGCGATACGATCGGAGAGTCGAACATACCCAAAACGAGCACGCAGAACTCGTTGCCGTTTATCTTCGAGGCACAAATAATGACCACGTAGGTCGGCAGGCACTTCTGCGGGTGGGGGCGCTCGCTGAGGAACCGCAGGGACTCCGAAATGCCTTCCCCCAAGGAGTTGTGGGCGACGACCACTCGGACGCTGCCCCCGGAGACGCTCGCCTCCAGCCGGGCCAGCCACGGGAGCTGGGAGGGGGCGATGGCGGGACCGCCGGGACAGCACAACATGGCCTTCAGGAGGATCTGCTCCAGCTCCTCCCTCAGAGGAATCTGATCGGAACCTGCAGGAATCATTCAAGTTCAGTTTGAAGGATTTCTGCTGTCCGTCGTGGGGCAACGAAACATTTTAGTTACAGCGCGGCCTTTGAATGTGCGTGTAAGGGTTCATCCCGGCTGCTCACCTAAACGTGCAAGGTACTGTAAAGTAAGCAGKATCATTGTCTCCACGCTGGGTAGCTGACTGCTGTGGAGGCCCAGTGTCTCCAGGGTTTTGTCTGTCAGCTGGCTGCTCTTATAGCAACTGACCAGCAGGGGGCTCACTACTATGTTGCCGACATTCCCATAGAAATAAGGTAAAGTGCCATGACCTGAGAAGAAAGAGTCATGAATTAAACAGAAAAAACAAAAAAACAAAATGAGCAGTAACTTTACTTCAGAAGAACTAAATGTTTTAATATGTCTAGGCTAAATGTGTAAATGATGAGTCAGCATTCACAATTAATTTAATCAAAAACCCTGATTCCTTTGAAATCTATTTTAGCAGACTTGCTAACGTTTTATCTTTATCTGCTAGAGTTTTCTTTCTTATTGTTCGTCTTTGTTACAGTTAGCTTTYAGCTAGCATTTTGCTCCTTTCGTACTTCATGACCTACCGATCAGGATGACAGGGCGAACTCCTGAAGTGTTGAGCAGGTTCTCGGGGATGATGACAGTGTCTCCGGCGGAGACGGGCTGAGGCTGAATGACGCCCGTCACCGGCGGCTGAGGAGAGGAAACTGCTAAAACCGGACCTGGATGACCACAGAAATGAATGCTTGTCAGTGCTTTTGTACAGCTACATCTTTATTGTGATTAATAATTAATTATTTTCTGCAGCCCCCTCCCACCCACTGGTCTGCAGTTCCATTAAGCTGACCATTCATGACAGTGCGTGTTTTCTCTTTGCATTACTTTGCAGTTCCTGATGCAGTGGCTCTGTTTTAATGGACTGACACTTGTTTAGAAGCTCTTTTTGCAACAGTAACATGACCAGCTKTCATTAGCGTGAATAAATCCCATTAAATGTTGTTTATGGTGTTGSTTGCAGACACTCAAGATAACTAGCGAGTCCTACAGACGCAGTCAGGTGGATTTCTAATGGATCCTTGAATCAGTTCTAARTACGGATGCACAGATGTGAAAATTTCAGGCGATATCAATATCCGATATTATTACTGGTGTTATATAACCGATATTTACTGATATTAAAAAACACACAAATTATTTATATACATATACGCACAAATACACTTGTGTCTTTTTTCGATACTGTAAAACAATGATCAGASCACTGACATGGCTCTCTGCTTCAGTTATTCTTGGCTGCACGGCATCATTATCACTATCATGATCCAATAGATACCACTCGACCATCTCCCCTCCCAAAACAGAAATACAAAGCTAAAAAGTGGGAAATCAATATCGGACGTTCATATTGGCCCAGTTTTACTTATCGAACCGATACGGATATTCTAAAAAATATTGGCTGATTCCGATGTTAATGCTGATATATCCTGCATCCCTAGTTCTAAGTGATGCTAAAAAGTGTTTTGATCTACTCATCATGTCTGTATAGAATTTCACGTAGGTCATAGACAGGTTTAAAAAATATGTACAGTATATATATTG